TGCCCATAACTTAAAATGTTTGCGTCCACTCTTGCCGAGCACGACCTGATTCGTCCTTTGCAAGGCTTAGTCCCTGTTTGGCCCCCAAATTTTTTAAAAATCATTTTTTGTTCAAGTTCATTTTTAATCATATATTTTATGAGATCTACAATTTTTATTAATTTTTCAATTACACATTTCATCAATCTCTATGAAATTTATTAAAAATTTAATTTTTAGCCAAGCCAAAGTGGGGCCAAATGTTTACACCTAAGACGCCCAAAAACATGAAAATGGGTAAGGTAATTTAACAACATATATATTGGGGTGTTGTGATGCTTATGTTCCACAATAAAATGGGACATGTGCATACTCATCCTTCCGTGACTATGTGGCTGGCATTTCGAGGAATGTCGGGACCATGCACAACCATCCACCCACCCGCCGTCGGATCATTTCTATGGTGGTACCTTGATAGTTGCCTGCATTTGCACCAGTCACGTGTATGCCTCCATCACCTAGTACACTTGTGCATTTATTTAATTTTTACCATATTTTGGGATTTTCTATCCTCAGCAAAAGCCCCATAGAATTTATTTTAATCTTTAAAAGAGAATAAGGACTTCAAACTTTAGGCAATCTTGACTTTTGGGCTGAATTAAGTGCAATGAGGGGCAGGGACGGATTCATGATCGGATTACAGGTCGGATTAATACGTAATTTTTTTTTTTTACATTAGTCCCTGATGAGGGGGGAGTGATGCCTTACTTCTCGAGTGCGTTGAACTTAGAGAAACGGATATATATATATATATATATATCTACAGTCTATGAGGGGCGATTATTAACGTAAGCTATTTAAACGCGACAATTACACACAAATATAATGGTTCGAGGTACTAATCCTTGATTTAAATCCCATGTCGTATGCGTACGAGAGAACATTTATGTTGCACACGCTTACACCTTATGAGGTGGCAATATATAAACAAGTACTTGACTTCTGCTTTCCTTTCAATACATCTCAACTCTAATGAGTGGATTTTGAGCTTCAATTTTTATCATCCGGAGCATCATTTTGAGCATGTGACATTCGATTTCGATATTCTCCCTGAAGAGAACATGAATTTAAGCATTTGTTTCTCTCATTCTTTTAAAACACTTTTTTCTATATACTCATTTTCAATCATATATTCACACAATAAAATATTCTACATGTACACTCAAAATTTTTTCCTACTTTTTAACTACCAATTCTTCAAAAATTCACTATTCAAACCAAATTTTTTTTTTTTTTCCAAAAAAGAGGTCACCAAACAGGGGCTAATTAAATTTTTCAAATAGAAGTGGGCCTCACTCAAACTTAAGCCGGAATACAACAATTTCCAACCATTACAATAATCAAGAGAAAAATCAAAATAAGACCCATGTTATCACAGGTAATGTCTCCTTCAAAATACAACGAGAAAAATCAAAAGAAACGGAGAAATAAACCAATGCAAATTAAAATCTGAATGCATCTAAATTTTCACACATCTTACCAACTCGCTTGGTTCATAGGTTTTACCGAAAACTCTCATTTGTTTAAGCGCGGAGCATAAAAATGCCGAACAAGAAATGTTTGGTAAGGTGAAACGGGATTGGGCTAAAAAGTTTTTCTAAGATTTATGTCAAATTAAAAGTCCTCTTATATACTCGTAGTTGGTCTTATACCAAGTGACTGTTGGAGGGAATAATCTTTACTCCTAACTTGGTACTGACAAGTTAACTTACAAAGATTAAGGATGAAGAAACATCCCATGTGACTTCATGTGCCAACTACATGACCAACCTAAGTAAAACAAAGGGTAATTAACACGAAACGTCCTCACATTTTACAGTTACTGTAGAAAACATCCTTACATTTCATTTTGTGGCATTTTCACCCTTATTTTCACATTTTATTACGCAAAATGTCATTTTATCCATTTTCTCAATTAAAAAATTTGAAATGATGAATATACCCTTCCATTTAAATAAAACAAAAGGAAAAAAGAAAAAAATTAATTCCAACCAATGTCCCAATTTTTTTCTTGAAAAGCGCAAATGAATTTCAAATAAATTATTGAAAAGGTAATTAGCACATAATGTTCCTACATTTCACTCTTATTGTAAAAAACATTCATACCTTTTATTTTTATTTTTATTTTTTTTTGCATTTTCACCATTAATTACACATTTAATAGCTAAAATTATCATTCTATCTATTTTCATCCAATTTCTCAATAAAAAGTTATGAAATGATGCATATACTCTCCTATTTAAATAAAAAAGCTAAAAAAATTAATTACAACTATAATATAGGGGAGTCAACGAGCCTAGTCGAGCTACAAGCCAAAACTAGAAGCTCGAGCTCAGCTAGAACAAAAATGGTTCGGACTTTTTTTGGCCCGAGTCAAGGCTCAGCAAAAAAAATTAGTCTCGATTTGAGTTTTCGACTCAGGCCTTAGTGAGCCAAGCTGGGCCGAATCGAGTAGGCTCGTTCTTTATACATATATAGTATACATTTGCAGGTAGCTGCTATGCCTGCTGCTGCAAGTGGCAAATTGCTGCATGCTGCTCACAGCTACTTGCTGCTGCATGCAACTATTCTTTGTTTTGAAATTCGACTTGTCTGAGCAAAAAATGGCCTGTGTAGCCATATGGGCAGGCTTGGGCTCAAGCCAATGCCCCAAAATGGGGCTCGGCCCAAACCACGAGCTGGCGAGCCACTTTGACATGCCTACCATAGACCCAATTTTTTTTTTAAAAAGTGTAAGTCCCCAATAAATTATTTTTTTTTAGAAAAAAGTGCAGACGAGTACCAAATAAATTATTAAAGAATTAGAAATTCAAAAAAAATATTTTTTTTTATTTAAATATGAGGGTATATTCATTATTTCACAATTCTCTATTGAGAAATTAGACAAAAATGGATGGAAATTATGGTTTGCACATCAAATATGTAATTAAGAATGAAAATGTCAAAGAATGAAAGGTATGAACATTTTTCGCAATAACGGTGAAAGAGGGAAATTATGTACTAATTATCCTTTTAATAATTTATTTGGGACTCATTTACGCTTTTTTAAAAAAACTTTGGACTACGGTTGCAATTAATTTTTTTTTTAAATTTAAAGAGAATGGTATATTCGTCATTTCACATTTTTTAATTGAGAAAATAGATGAAAATGACATTTTGCGCAATGAAATGTGAAAATGTCAAAAAATGAAATATAGGAACGTTTTCCACAATAATAATAAAAGGTGGGGACGTTATATGCTAATTATCCGTAAATAATGAATTAAAGACAAAAAAAATGTGATTATATAAATCCAAGCCCAAATTCCCATATCCTGTTCTTTACTTCAGATTGATACAAAAATTAATGCAATTTGTTTTGTGATTAACGGTATAAATTTTTCCTGTATTATTGTTTTTGGTCACTGAGTCGTAATGTTTCAAGAAACAAAAACTAGTGGGGACTTAAATAAAGGTAAATTCCATCAAGGTCCTCAACTTCTGGTTAATGTGACGCTTATGTCCCAGACCTACCATTTGTTACACTAATTTATGCTCGTTCCCGTCCTCATCCTATGAAGCTCTCCCCAAAGCTTTCAAATCCTCGCCAACAAGAAATGATCTATGCGATCTCACATATTCAGTTGACTTCCGACCTTTTAAAATTGTGGCATTTCCTATGTCCCAAGTTAACGAAAAATATTTATTTGAATAGGGTAAAATTCCTCAATACTCATAAAATATATCCTCTTCCTTCAACCCATTCCTGACATTAAGTAATCGCTTTCTTATTAATTGGGAACATGGGGCTAAAATATCAAAAGGTTGAAAATATGAGAGTCACATTTATAAATAGTTAAGAGATACATTACAAATTCACTACAGATTTTGTAACTTATTTTCAAATAAGACTATCCAATTACATATTATGTTATACAATAAATTGTCGTGTATATTGAAAAAATGTTCTGGACAAGGAGGTAAGTGACAATCAACTGTCAAGAAAGCGACACATGGTGCCGATTCTCCGAAGACGATTGATGCCATTTAGAGGACATGTCTTTTTTGAACTTATCTTTTTTAATTTATATTCTTGTTATTTGTTGATCATCAAAATCATTGTCGTCGAACCTATAATCAATGCAAAATTTATATGAAGGACGAAGAGTTCAACTCTTATTTCAATTCTTTTTTTTCCTTTTTCTAATGATGCGTGTGAGTTCATTTTTTTTATAGAATTTATTTTAGTTTGGAATAATCTATATTGTTGACACGATCCATTTTTCTATTAAAGTAAATTAGATGTGATAGTTGTTTAAAACATAATATTTCTTACAACACTTTACAAACATGTTATCAAATTCGAATCAATTCAATTATTTTATTTAAAATATATGTAATTAAAAATGAATTTGAAAAAAAATAATAAATTTTAAAATTTTTTACCTCAAACATAATAACATATATTACGACAAATGAATAACATCAAAATGAGCTTCTTCTCTGCAGAATAAAGAAAACGCGAAAACAAATAACGCTGTAAAGTTATGGCGTATGCTTCCAAGTGAAGAAAGAAACATCCAAAATGCACACACTCTCATTCATCCCTACCGTGTATCCCACTGGTCATCTTCCCCATCCCCACCCCCTCTTTGCAGTAGAATTTGTTAATATTATACGGTGAATATCCAGACAATAAATCCAAAAAGAAAACCATTAATAATGTTTCCATCACAATCCCATATGATATCTCAATTGCCGCCATCCCTCACCAATCATTCTTTTTAGTCAATTCCACCCCCACCCCCAGCATAACCATTCTTTCCTTTTTCCAACCCCTTATTACCACCATTTATGATCAGTTACCAAGCAATAAATCCCTCATTAACTGTCAATTCATTAGTTAAATAACTAGTGTAAATATGACTAGACTTTTCCGATCCACGTCTTGCACAGTTAGCGATTTTTTTGCTATCAAATCAATGCCGCCGGAAAAACCCACTTCCCCAAATAGCCTCTCCGTTTACGAGGACGAAGAGCCGGAGGAAGATGAGGACGAAGGATATTTCGGGGATTTTATTGGTGATGATGGGGAGTTTGATAATCCTGTTACGACGCCGTTTACAAGCCCGGAGAGGAGGCGTTGGATTAAGACCGAAGATAGAAATGGGCATAATAATCAGCAATTCTCGGTGCTATCGATGGTGGCGACAGCGCTGCGGCGGTCTCTGGTGACTTGCAGCGTGGATAGGGATCACATGGAGTCTGATGTGGACATAGGGTGGCCCACTGACGTCCGCCATGTCTCGCATGTCACCTTCGACCGCTTCAATGGCTTCCTTGGACTTCCTGTCGAGCTCCAGCCCGACTTCCCCCGAACACCCCCCAGCGCCAGGTTTCACTATTTAATATATTTTCATTTTTATTTTGCTATACAGAACCTTTTCTTGTTAGAATCTGGAATACATTTTCTTTTAGATCCGGATTTATAGTTGTTATTGTCTTATTGATTTAGTTCTATCAATAATTGTCTTATTCTTCGTCTAGATTTTGTTTACAACGAATTTTAGTAGAATTTTGTAGTCCAATTTTATGAGAAGAAATGCATATGAGCTTCCATTAAGAAATAGAAGGAGTGCCTTAATTAGAATAGAACGTCTTCCATTTGCTTTCTTGGAAAGATGAGGGATATTTGTGCCCTTTGGTAATCTGATTATGCCTTCCTGGTACATTACTGTTCAGACGTACAATAACGAAAGCTTCCTTCGAAGATTAAGGAGGTTGTGTGATGTGGAATCAGAATTATCCTCTACTGAAATGCCTACCTGCTGTCAAATGAGAGGTTGAGTGTACTGATTAAACAAATTTCTTGCTGTTTGTAAAGATGATTATGGTTTTATAAATTAATTTTGTTACGTCTTAATTTTATATGTGATGGTTGGTTATTTTCTAATGCAAATCACGTTATGGAAACAAATATTTTTGGTTAACACTGAGCAATCTGGTCCATTGTGGCAATAATAAGCTGTAACATTTTCACTTCTTAATTTTTGGATTTGTAGAAGTGTTAAATGTTTAAATATTCTTAGAAAAATATTTTTAGTCTATCATTTTATCACTTAAACCTAAAATTTGAACTTTAATACCGTTTATTGATTTGTTTGTTGTGGTGTCTTGTGTGCACGACTAATTTGTTTATGTAATTTGTAGTTTGCATGTAGTCATCTATGTCCTTGTATATATATGGATGGCCTAAATTTCAATATCCACTACTAGAGGAAAGTCAGGATTTCTCATCTTTGCCACCCATCATGTTTGCAGTGCAAGTGTTTTTGGAGTTTCTGCACAATCAATGCAGTGTTCTTACGATCAAAGAGGGAACAGTGTGCCAACAATTCTTCTTAGGATGCAAAACCAGTTGTATTCAGAAGGCGGCCTTCAAGTATGCACTTATGTTTATTATTGATAATTTCTTAATTGCTATTGCATCAGTTTTCATTGATTAATTATGATTTATATGTTTTGGTTGAAGGCAGAAGGTATATTCCGTATCAATGCTGAGAATAGTCAAGAAGAACTTGTCCGGAACCAGCTTCATAAAGGGGTTGTGCCCCGTGGAATTGATGTTCATTGTTTGGCTGGGTTGATAAAGGTACCTAGAGGAAAATCTTTAGTTAAATATTCTTCTATTATCTTGAGGAGATATATTATGAGATGAAAGTTATTTCTTCTTGAGTTGATGTGTGTAGGTTAGCTGAAATTGATGAAGATATGGAATGGAATCATTCTTAGTCAGATAATGTTCTGTTGAACTAATATAAAGCAACGTAGTTTTGGAAATAACGAGTTCCATGATCCATCAGCTGTAACTTACACTTTCCACTGGAAAGAAGGTTGTTTCCTGGCTGTATTACACCTATCAAAAATCAAACCTGCCATAACCTTGTTTGACCAGCCTTTTTTGAAAATTTTAGGTTATCCAAAACCGATCTGTCTTGCTTTTTTTTTTTCTGGCTGGGGTGGGTGGGGGGGAGGGGGGCGCTAGAAAACTTATGTTCAGACTGGTTATGGGGTTATTTGAATAACTGCACCTAATTTGGAAGAGAAAGTAAGAATAACTAGTGATATCTTTGGTATTAGGGTAAGTGTCACATATGGCATGATGTCATCTCTTCAAATTGAATGGGTACTTTAGCCATTACTCAACAATTCAGTTTTTACTGTTGTGACACATTTTTTCTGCATCTTATTAGAATGTACTTAGTACTAAACTACATGGACTTGGGTGAGGGGGTGCAAGAAATGGGCATGTGCCTAAGTGTTCGATTTGTAATAAGTTACCAATTTAACATTAAAATGAAGGATCCATATGACATACCTCACTTGAGCCTCAAGTGTGCGATATACGTATCTGACCATAGTAAAAGGTATATAAAACACAGCTTAAATTTATCAGGATTAAGCTCGACTGCTGTCACTTTTTCGTCCTAAACTTGTACTTGCTCTTTCAAGCATGTTATAAGTACTTCAATGAACGGATCTAAGAATAAAACCTTCAATCTCAACCTTGTGGAAGACCCTATTACATGAACAATTGGCTACTTGTAGGTTTCATATCTAGCCTCGAGAAAGAAACTGTGTAAAGGAAATTTTGCATTTAGTTCATCAATGGCTAGGTGTAATTTCTTATCTTCTTTCCAGTTTGCTAATCAGAAGTTAAGCGTTGTCCTTTGCACTAGAATACCTTTTTATAGCTTACTGACTGACTAAACTCATATATGATCTAGGTGTCAACTGGTTAATTTGGTAATCATAGTACAGGGCTAGGAAAATCCTGCATTTCTTCAGATGGATGATGTTTTGTGTGAGTTATAATCTGTAGTAGAGTAAAGCAAAAAAACTGTCATTGGCTATTACTTGATGCTATGATTTAAATGTGTTCGGTGAAGCTGAGTGATGTATGCCATAAGAATGGGGAATTCTTATGTATTGGTTGCTTTGTTGCCAACCTGATTGCTTCAGTAATGTTCTCTGGGTCAATTTTCAGGTTGCCTCGTGATATTATGACTGTGATCACTGATAACTTCTAATTTTGACATTTCCAGGCATGGTTTAGAGAACTTCCAACTGGAATTCTTGATTCTCTGACACCAGAACAGGTGAAGCATTGCAACACAGAAGAAGAGTGCTCCCAGCTTGCAAAGCTGCTTCCACCAACTGAAGCTGCATTGCTCGATTGGGCAATCAACTTGATGGCCGATGTTGTGCAAAATGAACATCTAAATAAGATGAATGCACGCAACATTGCTATGGTTTTTGCTCCCAATATGACTCAGGTTCTTTAACCTCCTTTGCACCTTTTGTTCTTTCCCTATTATTATTATTATTATTATTTTTTTTTTTTTTTGGCATGGTTTTCCTCTTTCTAGATGTTTGAGGCCTCAACAAATTTTCTAGCTATCTCCACCACACTTTGCCTATGTTTGGCTCATGTTTATAAATTGTTAATAAACACTCAAGACACTTTTTATCCACACATTTCGAGGAACCTGTAAGTACTACCTAATTATTCACCATTCATTTCTACTTTTTTGTAATTTAAACAGTATATAAACACTTCTCAAACATACTATTAGATTTTTATGTAGGGATGGGCGTTGTCCAGTTTGGTCTGCTTCCAAACAGAACCGACTCGAATTCTAATGAGTATTTTGAAAATGGAACCATTGGTTCCATCTCAAAGTATGGAACCAAACAGTTTGCTTCTGTTTCCTTCGATTAAGTTCTCAAATTCGCTATTGAATGCAAATGCAGTGTTTCTGACCTCAAGTTCTTAATAATTGTTTCAATATCTAAATTCTCCATAATATATTCATTGAAATAATTTATGCTGTTGCCATTGATTTGTATTTTTCAAGTTTAACTAGACGTTAAAATTTACATCAATTTGTTAACTATTGATTTGAATAAGTTCTTGAAAAACATGCTCCAATCTCACTTTCATTTTCTTTAATCTTTGAGGGGACAAAAATGTTAACTTTGAAAGAATGAAAGGAACCCAAACTTCTTATTAATCAAAAATTACATCTAAGAAATTTAATGGGTCCATTTGTCTGAGTTTATAAATAACATTATAATATCAGTTTGATGGGCCACCGTGAAATTCAGAGCCACTGTTTAAATAAAAAGTACAAAAATTTTGTTAAATTAGGTTTTAATGGTTCTTGGTATTAGAACTGAGAAACTGTCTGGAATTGGCCAGTGCTCGATTTTATTACTCAGTTGGGATAAGAACTTGAGTGGAACCCGACTTGGCCGATACCGATTCGATTCTGTTCAGTTCAACGGTTCGGTAACTTTTGCCCACTATTTTATCACATGATCATTTTGCTTTTGATTTTCAGATTCTTTTAATTAATAAGCATTAAGATATTTTTCTTTGCAAGCTGTTGTGTCAGACTAAATGAGGAAATGATGGTTAAAACTGTTATTATGTTATGGGTCGTATATATCTATGCATTGGCAACCTGATGTGAGAGGGTTCTTTTTGCAGTAATTGGCCTAGTTTTTGTCGTGTTCTAATTCTTCGAATTTTACCGTGATATGGATAATCAAGATGGTTTTTGAATTGATGCAGATGGCCGATCCTTTGACCGCATTAATTCATGCAGTCCAAGTTATGAACTTTCTCAAGACCTTGATATCGAAAACTCTTCGTGAAAGAGAAGTATTAGCTACCACCGACCGATTATTCTCAGCATATGCTGATTCTGCAGGCAACATAGGTGGTGACCACCCATCAAATGCAACTGCAATGGTCTTGTACGAGCAGGCTTGTGATGGTTGCTCATGTTCAAGATCCGCCTGTGGCAGCCTCCTGTGGAGTGCCACTTTAGAGAGACTGGAAGCTGATAGCAACGAAAAATCCTCGAGATTAAGGTGTAAGAGTGATGTTGATGAGAAATATGAATCTGTTGCAGGTATAATCTCACCTGAAAAAAGCAAAAGACAATCAGCTTCCAGTAGATTTAGAGACGAATATGACAACGAGGAAGTTGAGGGGGTATTCAATAGGCTAAGTTTGAGAAAAGGAGTGCGAAAACTATGCAAGCATCCTGTATTTCAGTTGAGTAAGCCAGTCAAGAAGAGTCGCGGAGTTGGAATTGTAAATACTCGAGGAGGTGCAGAAACTTGGGCATACGATGGATGCAACTCACACTCAGGTGTGTGTTCTGTACGGGCTGAGTAAATCTTTTTACATTTACATAACAGTCTACCAGAATAGGTATGTTTTTTTGTTATTAGTCTAGTTAGATGAGCATTTGAAGGTGTGTTTGAATGTTTTCAGGTACTAATTGCAGTTTTATGTTGGTTATTGAACATGTACAAAGATGTGCATGACAATAATTTCATGCCTAAGATAAAAACTTAGTTGCAGGATGCATTAAATTTCATCATTAGATGCAAGTTTTAGATTACATCATGTCCAATAGATTTTTGGATGTTTTAAATGGACAATTTGTGAAATACGCTCGGCATACACGGTGTATTTATATTTTAGAACCTTCAAATTATGGGGTTGTCGATGTGCAAATGATTCCTAACCTTCAATCTTGATGCAAACATGCATCCCTGACCGTCGTCCACCTCTTTTAGATTGGTTTCCAATTGACTGTTAAAAAGGTAATTTTAATTTTTTTTTAAAACAAAATTCTGAAAGACCCTTACTTTAAGTTAAATAAATAAAAAAATTTAAAAAAAAATTGCAAAAAGAGGAAAAACAACTCATTCCACAACCAATGTCTTGTAAGAGAATCTCCAAAGTAATTTTTCATTACTTTAAAGATTATGTCATATAAACAAAATTCAAAAAATTCCTAATGCAAAATGATAGGGATCTGTCAGGAAATAGAGAGACCTTTTTAATCTACATAATGTTGATATCTACTAAGTAGACATGAGAGTTCAAAATTGAATTTTCAATGCATTTTATAGATTACTAATTAGGTGTGTTTTATTTTCTTAAAATAATAACAAAATAACAATGAAATCTACATATTAAATATATTTTTGTCTTTTATATGAGTTGTTTACTCTCTATGAGATTTTGATCTATGGTAGAGAGTTGGGGTATTTATACCACTCTATGGTTGACCTAATTACACGAGTAATGGTATTTAATATCACTGGTGTCGCAACATCAGTCTAAATGACACTAGTTGTCATTAAATGAAATATGCAATTAAATAAATCAGATAGTTTCACATTTAATTGAACAAATCACATAAATTGTATGTTTGCAACACACAAGGCTTCTTGTCTCCATCATAGTCTAACTGAGTTTCTAAATCTAGAGAAACTCTAAAAAATATGTAATTTGTATGTCACGTTATATTGACAAAGTTCTTGTCAACTTGAATTGGAGAGATTGTTTTTCTTAAAAATATTCTATTTTACTTATATAGCACTATTTTTCAAGCAAATCTCGATTGCATTGGAGACACTCTTATGAGGATTGATTAGTATGATTAGTTGACTTTTTTCTTATGTTTTGACATTTTTAATTGCCATTGAATGAAACTATCCAAAATTATAAATTGCACTACTAAGTTTTGGTAAGAATGTTTATGCCAAGGTTTGAAGATTGAGGAGCATTTGTATTGTAACTCAAAGGTTAAGGACCACTTCCACCAATTTATCTTTATTCTTTTGGACTACTCTTACAGGTTCATAATTTCCCTCGTACATGAACCTTTCCACGGAGTTTGCTTTTGCGACAAAAGGTTTATGATCTGCCTGCACCACTTCTGCTTCGCCCTTGTCATTCCAGAAAATCAGGCATTGATGGAGTGATGAAGGTATGCAACGACTTCCGTGTATACAATCCCTTCCTAATAACACATTGTAACTGGTAAGACCATCTATCATGAAAAAGACTGTGGTCCTAGTAGTTGTCCCAACAGTTATGTCCAATGGCATAACCCCTTTAACTGAAGTTGCTCCTTCATTGAAACTATTAAGGATGACTTCTGTTGGAATCATATCACTTTTTGCTTTTACAACTTTCCTCATCATCCTAGATAGGATGGTGTTTATAGCTGCTCCAATATCGATGAGTACTTTCGCCACCGGTATGCCATTAACTAGAGCCTTAACGTATAGTGGCCTCAAGTGTTGGCTAGCCTTTTAAAAATAACCTTTTCGGCATCGTCTATTTCCACTTCTTACTTGTCTTCTGTTGAACTATCTTTTTGTGATAAGTCAACGTGCAGTATGTCGCACTGAGCTTCTGCTTCTCGGACTTCCTTTTTACTACATTCCGGAGTTTCCTTTTCAATTATCCATATTTTTCAGAGCGAGGTACTCTCTTCTTCCTTTTGGACGTCCCGTATAGTACATAATAATCGAAAGAACGCCCAGATGGTTTCCCCAACAAGTTTACTTCACAAACTCCCTCTTGATATTGTTGTTTCAACAGAGTATTGCGCGATACTCCTCTCTTTCTTCTTTCCGCCTCCAGATCAATTTCTTCTTCGATGTCTGTCATGCCATCATCCTCTTCATCATTGTAAGCCCCTCCGGAAGTTTGGCCTTCTTCCCATTCCAGTACACACGCTTCTTCTTCGTCATCCTTTCTTTCATCATAGGCCCATCTGAAAATTTGGTCTTATTCACATTCCAGTATACACGCTTCTTCTTTTTCAAAAGAATGGGTGTCAAACAAGCTCTAAATGAAATGTGCAATTAAATAAATCAGATAGTTTCACATTTAATTGAACAAATCACTTAACTTGTACGTTTGCAGCACACAAGGCTTCTTGTCTCCATCATAGTCTAACTGAGTTTCTAAATCTAGAGAAACTCTAAAAAATATCTAATTTGTATGTCACGTTATATTGACAAAGTTCTTGTCAACTTGAATTGGAGAGATTTATTTTCTTAAAAATATTCTATTTTACTTATATAGCACTATTTTTCAAGCAAATCTCGATTGCATTGGACACACTCTTATGAGGATTGATTAGTATGATTAGTTGACCTTTTTTTCTTATGTTTTGACATTTTTAATTGCCATTGAATGAAACTATCCAAAATTATAAATTGCGCTACTAAGTTTTGGTAGGAATGTTTATGCCAAGGTTTGAAGATTGAGGAGCATTTGTATTGTAACTCAAAGGTTAAGGACCACTTCCACCAATTTATCTTTATTCTTTTGTCTATTTTGTCTAAATTTTTCATTTTAATTTCATTTTTAGAATTTTAGAGCATTTTTGTTTCCCATTTTTATAGTAAGAATACATTTTGAAATAATAGATTAATGAAAAATGTGTGATTAAAAATTAAAATATAAGGACAAATTATGAATTTACGTGTCATATTATTTTTTATTGAAAAATGTGTGTGTGAAAAGAAGAAAGAAAAAAATATATTTTCAGAAAATTAGGTATCAAACGAGGGCTTAATTTTAAAAAATGTAATGACCATTTTGTATTTTTAAACTCTTAGTCAAACGGGTTGACTAACATTGATAAATGCTAATAATTTCGAGGATATATGCATAGATAGCCTAAATACAAAGTCATATTTCAAAAATGACATTTGACTTTTCTAAAATATTGGAACTACCTAAAATACCACAAATAAAATATTTATCTAAAGCTACTAAAATATGAAAAGAATACAATCAAGTCCTAAAGAATTAGATTTTCATAAAATGACTTATAAAAAATCAGGATCTAAAAGAGGACCATATAAGATTAAGAAAATTGCAAAAGATAAAAAAAAAAAAATTGAATTTA